TGAGATTGTGAAACTACATGAATACAGGTGGTTTGGAAAAGTATTACGCCTGTCGAGCCACCGCCTTCCTCATCGAGCAGTATTAGCCGACATAAGATTATGTTAGAAAATGGTGGTCAAATCAAAACGTGGCGTCAATCATCGATGAAGTCTTTGACTGTTGGTTTGATCTAGCGGTGTGGGAATATGTAGGCTACCTAGTTAATGTCCTCGGGATGCTAAGTACTGCCTGCTTGAGATTGTTGATAACATGGCACCAAACCCTTCTCAATTGCACAGATAAATTCACTCTTTGTAATCTTCCAGATCCATTATGATTTCACGCTTTTCTGTGTTATTCTTCCTTCCATACATTTCTGTTCATCATACTTATTTTGAATTTTCGTATTTTCTTCTCTTTGGCTTTGCGTGATATGTGGAGTTTTGCATGTTGAATTGCTGGACGTGTGCGCAAATTCCTTCACCGAAACACAGTTCTCTAGTCAAGTGGTTTTACTGGCCAATTTTGTGGCGTCTTGTAGGTGCAGACAGTGTTTGTCAATACTATGTGGAGAGTTAGTTGCTAGCCTTGACTATTGTTTAGTTCAATGTTTAGCAGCGGTAGTAGGTGGCAGCAGCTTAGTTACGTCAACCTGGTGAGGACAACGTTTATGATCACCACTGGTCCGCAAGATGAACCTGGCACATTTGAAGCATGATCACAATCTAGACAAGTGCCCCAGAAAGAGCCATAGTCCTGTATTTGCTTATGTCATCGATAGCTGATAACACTATTAGTTGTGAATCGCGGCTTGAGTAGCAGATGAAGATCACCATGTGTCACTACGGCGACAGCTGTGCTGGAAGTTGTTGCCGGCTGGGAATGGCTTGTGATCTGTGCAGAGATGCAGAAGACGGTCCTCATTATCTGACTGCGACCATGTAGCCTCCATTGGACACCTGAACGACGCTTTCGAGCGCAGAATCCTGACTCGTGGGTTCAAGTCACGCTTGCTTCAGAAACTCACTCAGTTTATAGTAGAATTCATCCTTAATTAAATCCCGAATGCTTTGCGCCGGTTCACAGGCTGGAGTGACGAAAATATAACATCTATCACTCCAATTGTTTCTTGCTTTCTAGCCTCACAGCACATAAATGACCATAAAATGAGGATGCAGTTGGATGATGCGAATTTGATTCGGGCTCTCAGTGTAACACCGACGTAGTTAAATTGGATGACGGTTCTACAGAGTCGCCAGATAAACTGAGGTGTTACACACTGTTTTTCTTTGCAGATTGAGAAGATAACCACAGCACTTGACTGAAATAGTAGTCTATGTGATGCTGCACACTTTAACAGCAATTTTTTTTCAGGGATCTTATCCGCTCCGTCTGTTCACTGATTTTCATCAGTGTGCAAACGCTGTATTTGGCAAGCTCGGACGTGAAACGCAGTTTCAGGGTAATCTTTTTGAATATAACGCTAGAGACCAACTTTCTGAAGACAACTAAATAGCCACTTAGGATGGTACAAATAGACTGGGATTTCAAACAGTAGCGAACGGCTAACCGAAGTAGAGATACTAAAGAAAATAAAGATTATGTAGACAAAAATCAAACTAAATGGTTCATACATAAAAATGAAAATATAGTGATAAAGAATCAAGTTTTTGAATATACGATTGAGGAAGTAATCTATGATGGTGCTCATGCGAGTAAAGTGTTCCATAATTTGTGTGGAGGGTTGACATACTGGTCGGACGCCAGGAATGATGTCTTAGGGAACCACAGCTAGTTCGATTCACAAGACAGCAGAATAGCGTTAGGAACTGTTCCCATGGTTGCCGGTGGCTAAAATATATTTGCAATCCATTCGATCCTTTTGGGTTTTGGGGCCCACTTGCACCGTAGGCTTCGGCTCTAGGTTTTCTAACTCCTCAAGGTGAACCTCCTTGTCCACCAACCCCGTAATAAACACAGGCATTCACCATTTCACTTTTGTGAGAACCCTCCCCACCGTGTGTAGTGGACAGGACGTATCTGACAGAGGCTATGAACAGGTGGACATATGAAAGTATTTTGGGAAGAAGCCTGGAATCTTAGGCCATGTCAGTTCGTTTGTGAGGATGGAAAGTAGTTATTGAGTCACACAATCCAAATATACTAAATTTCAACCGGAATCCAGCAAAATCTATCGCGAAACATTTATTAGTATTTGGTGGCAAAATCATTACGAATGTGGCTGTTCTTCTCACATAGCACTAATTCAAGTTTATTAAGAGTGATATAAGCACTTTGACTTTACGCACTTCGCATTAGGTGCAAAGAAAACAATACATTTTGACCTTTGCCCACTCTGAACTACTTTATCGATTAAAAGTTTTTTAGTCGTTAATGTATTATGTTATCTCATAATAACAGTAATGTAAACGTAAACAACAATGCTAGTTATGGCGCTGTTGTCGAGATACTGACAAATGATATCAGCTTACAAAGTTTGTCAATGTTGGTTACATACCTTTTTTGATCCGCACTAAAGTCTAAAAGTCAATAGTTAAACTTTACTATCTTTTTAGAGATATTGTTGTCTAATGGCATTATGTCCTTTATACGGGATTGCTTTTGTGTCTACTTTTATGTCGCATTCAGATGTAAAGTTATTTTATTAATTTTTGTGCCATGTTTCGTGTGGCGCTCTCTGTACGCATAAATCGTATATGGTTGCAACACTAGGATGATAATTGTGATTGTGAGTTATTTATCACTTTCTATGCTGATTTATTAGTAATAATTAAGTAGCGTATTTTGTGTACAGACTAATTATTCTGATTGATTAACCTTCAGATCTGTTAGATACTAGCTTTTTGGAAGTTATGTGAGTACTTTGATATGTATGTCGGTAATTTTCTTTGGAACTTTTTTTCAGTAGATAAGTGTAATACTGTATTACTGTAAGTCATATCACAATTATTGTGTGATGACACTAGTACCTAATTAAGGTTATGTAACATTAGAATTTTAGTAGTAGGAGAATGTGTAAATTTGACTTCTTACGAAGCGCTATGGATATAATGGGTGTAGTAAGTTTCATGAAAATCCCACTGAAGAATACGTGAACATTTTTCAAGCTCAGCGGATTCAATGAGTTATAAAATTACTGGGTGAAAAAGTAACAAGTCTAGAAGTACTATATTAGTCTTAAATATTTAATGCATACAGTATTATTTGTGAATCTAACTTCGAGTGTAATTTTATTTCTTTATGTTCCCAGTGGTACATAGGGCTTCAAGCTAGAGGCTTGAAGTTTCAGTAGCAGTGGTGTTTATTTTTACGGGATGGGGTTGCCAGTTTCATGCCCAACCTTCCCTCTTTAAAAGTCTTATTACTGTTGAAGTAAAGGAGTGCGTCGGCCAAGGGATTCAACTCTGAACCACGTGGTCGGCGAGCATTTTATCTCTGTGCCACAGATGCACCATTTTATCCCTTTTTAAGAGAAAATTCTTTTATATGAACAAATCAACATGGATTGCTCTTTTCATCTTAGAATTCATCTGCGCTACATGTCCAAGTAGACCTCTGTTAACCCTTTATACCTGTTATATTTCTCTTCATTATCACTGGCACGGTTCTGACTCCTATATTACATACAAAAATCCACCTATCTTCAGGATTTCCAATCCATCAATATACGATAACGTCGTTGAATCATAAGACACAAATGAAGACTTGTTACTTTGTGTGAGTAGCAAAAACTGTATTTCAAAGTGTGCAAAAAAGCGGGCATGATAGTTAACCGCTCAATGCACGACAACACACTCGGAGATTATTGTTCAGCTACACAGTGGAGATTAATTACACCAGCAAATGCCCCCATAAACGGCCTGGTACGATTGAGAGTGTGTAAACTTCGGTCTTTGTCTTGAAACTCTGTCATGTAGCCACGCGTTTATAGCATCGTCCAGGTAATCCCTATTCACTACCTTCCTCATAAAAGTGAAAGGGTTAATGCGAACGTCTGGCCCTTACAACTGAACTGGTGGATATGTAAGTCTACCTGTGGGAACTGGAAAACCCTATGGTATACAAGTGCTCCAGAACATTCTACCTGCTTGGCATCTAGTTCACCATACCATATTTATGTCAAAGGATAACGAACATTAAAAAGTAATTGTGTCTTATTGACCTTCATCCATTGCAAAACACTTATTAATATCAGGTCACAAAATCAATATCAATGACTGTTTCACAATTATTTCACATAACTTTAATTCAAGGTTATTGAAGGTGATGGAAGCACTTTGGATTAATCACATACAGCCTAACCTGAGTGTACAAAAAACAACAGACTTCAACCTTCGCCTACTATGGACTACTTGACCTATTTAACTATGATTGGTCATTAGTATGTACTTTTGTTATGTATATCACTGAGTCATGAACTTTATTTTATTTTATCATTGTTAACCATGTTAGTTGTAAAGCGGTTATAAAGAAACTACGAAATGATATCATCTGGCGAAATTTGTCTTCTAAATGCCTTATACAAATTAAGCTGTTTCGTCTGGCATTTCTGATTGTACACTGCGAAAATCTCCTGTCACTCTCTTACTCTTAGATTTGCATCAAAAGTAAAAGACATGAAAAAGTCATACTTTTTCAATCATAAACGTCAAAGTAAGTGATTATGAAGTATTCAGATTTGTGATTTCATTGTTCTAAAGATGAATTTCATATCATGTCAGTTCCTTAATAAGCCTACGGTAGAATCAATCAAATCCCTAAATACCCAGTGTCTGAGTCTTACGGTATTTCGCTGTTTTCTACAGGCAGTTTTACCATACTCTTATGATCTCCCCTTTCCTTTCGTATTAGGAGGAACAGTGACCTGTAATAGTGGAGCGTCGCATCTTCAGCTGCATTAATGTATTAATTGCATAATAGTTAGTTCGCCTTATTCTTCGTTTGTCAATTGTATCTTTGATCTTAATCAAATCCGTTTCCACTTATTTTCCTTTCTTAGGAATGACGAAGAAATAGCTGTTGTATATTTCAGAACTGGCTATACTCCAGATGCTTTTCCTGATAATGAAGTAAGTATAGTTTTATTTTCTGTTTATAATTGGTTACCTTTTCCAGTCCTTGTTGACGTAGTTGTAAATGTGGTGTTCTACTAAATTCCTATGATAAACATATTGTGCTTGATAGTTGGTGAGATATGACTCTGTTCTAAGTTATTTATACTTACAGACATTAGTTAAGTAGATATACGTGTAACTGTTTCATATCTACTTCCTTATAAGTAATAGATCACTAGTTATATTGGTTGTTCCTAATTAAATCATGTGCACACATAAACTATAATTTTTATAGTGGAACAGTGTCATGTCTTTTTTTTTCTTTCTTTTTAAGTGAACAGCCTGAAAACTGTATTCTGCATATATTGCCTTCACATTAGATACAAATATAAAACCTACTTAATTTCCATTTTTATTGATCCACGCTATTATTTCAAGTTTAAAAAAATTAATTTTAATACATTTCACATTAAAACTTACCTTCTGTTTCTCACAGTGATCATTATACGTCAATGCAAAAGAATAACAGAATAAGCAAACAAACCTTGCTTGCATAATTGATTGCTTAATTATAGGCTATAAATATTTATTTTTCTTTTCTTTTTTTAATCTTCACCTGGCTTTTCTATGATGCAGACATGGGATGTGAAATATCAACTTGAGAAATCTTTAGCAATTAAATGTCCATGCATACAGTATATGCTTGCAAATACGAAAATTATTCAAGCCGCTTTATCTAAACCAAAATATTTGTCAAGATTTTTTCAACCTAACAGTTCAAGTTATCAGAATGTTTTATCTACTTTCGCCAATCAATATACCTTAGACGCAGAGATGGGAATATCTGACTCAACAGAAATTCAACAAATTATTCATGAGTGTATGCTGAAACCAGAAAATTATGTCTTAAAACCACAAAGAGAAGGTGGAGGGAATAACTATTTTGGAGGTATTTTGAAGTTTAAACCTTTTTCTTGTAAGACATTTTACACATAAATTATCAATAGTTTTGTTAGAGCGGCTTGCAACATGCGCAGATATTGAATTGTAGAACACACCTATTGGGTGAAGTTTAAAAATGTATTATTGGATATCCATATTGATTTTAATGTAATGCAAGTAAGATTATTGACCCGTTGGTTGGGAATCAACAGTTTAGATTACTGAGAAAACTGCTTGACTTTTTACACTGTGACGAACACAGCCTTTTCATTTACCCGGTTTTGAACCACACTTATATCGCAACAGTTACTGATATTATTATTATTATTACTATCTAGATGGCCACTTTAATATATGGAGTGAAAGTTAAACCCGTGACAGACGAGTGCTTCAGCCGGCCAAGTTAAAGAATATCGATCCAAGGGTACGAACGCACCAATAACCTCCTAAGGTGTAATCAGATCAAGGTAGTAAAGCCAGGTAAAAAACGCCATATTCCCAGAGAAATGCTGAGAAATGGACAAGAATATCGGATAGGATACTTTTTTTTCTCTCTCATAGGTGCTTAACTCTGTTTCCCTTCTTTTGCCTAAAATGCTTGTATTGCTGCAATTAGCCCTTTGAAAGTCATTGGTACGTTCCTTACTTTCGAGCCGCTACTCTTTAACTTTGACCTTAAGCCAATGAACTATATCTCCATGTACGTATGTTAGAAACGTGTAACATTCTAAAAGTACAACTGTACTTGGGGTTTTGGTTTGCAAACGACTTTGGAGTTTTCACAGATACAGATACTCTTCAGTAGTGAGTACAAGCAAGCGGGAAACCTTGGTTCACACCTTACTTTATTTGGTGACCACGTTGAAATTTCGTTAGTGAACTTCCACCAGTATTAAGGCCTACATAAGTTATCACCTAATATCTGACTCGATGGCAATAATGTATGTTTTCAATAACTTGCTAAAAGTGTCCCCTTAAAATCATTTCTGATCATGTTCGCTCACTATCTTCTAGGTGGAGGAATTTATGTTGTAATAATGACATGTTCTTTATCCGTATTAATTGTCAATAAATTATTTTCTTCCTCACACTCATAGAGCAACTTGTGCAAAAGTTGAAGTCGATTATGAATCATGATGAGAGAAAAGATTACGTACTTATGGAACGCATACGTCCTTATGTTTTTGAGAACCAAGTGTTAAATTCCTTTTCAAAATGTAATGAACCAAAAGTTCAAGAAATGGTCACTGAATTGGGTATTTTTGGTGCTATTCTAGTGTAAGTTCAGTATATTATTATTATTATTGTTCCCTTGGGTTCCTAGTGGAACATAGGGCTTCAACTGCACGCCTCCACTTGCTTCTGTCTTCTGCTGTATTTTTCACTTGCATCCATGTTAATCCATACTGTTTCAGTTCCTGTTCACACGATCTCCTCCATGTCACCCTTGGACGTCCCACTCGCCGCTTCCCTTTCGGGTGCCACTCGAGGGCCTGACGCGCGATGTCACTTAGCAGCCTCCGCAGCGAGTGTCCAATCCATCTCCACTTTCTCCTGCATATTTATTGAGCGATTGGTTCTTGTTTTGTTTGTTCCTATAGTTTCTTGTTAGTGATTCTTTCCGGCCATCTGATCTCCAGTATAGAGCGAAGACAGTTGTTGATAAAGGTTTGCAACCTGTTGGAAATATTCTTTGTGACCTGCCAAGTTTCTGATCCGTGTAGAGTAACTGACTTGACGTTTGTATTGAAAATCCGTATTTTGTTGTTGATGCAGGCTGAGTGACGAAGATTTCCAGATTGGTTTCAGGTTGATGAATGTGTTTCTCGCCTTCCCGATTCTCGATTTGACATCGTCGTCCGTTCCTCCTGTAGTTGAGACAATGCTCCCTAGATCAGTGAAGTGAATGAAGTAACCTCTTTCATCAAATCCCTTCCGTTGATGGTGATTGGCGGTGGATGTTGCTGCTGTTGTTGTTGTTGGTTGGTTATTTTCATAACCTCCGTCTTGTCTATGTTCACCTGGAGTCCTGTCTTTGCTGCTTCTTTGACCAGTTTGTCGGTTTTCGCTTGTAAGTCTTCGATTTTGTGTGACATCAAACATAAATCATCCACGCGCGAAATCCAGGTCTTCTAGGTTCTTCACGTCGGTCCAGGATATCCCTGTCTTCTCGTTTCCCACTGTCTGACGCATAATCCAGTCCACCACAATTAGGAATATCATTGGTGATAATAAGCACCCTTGTCTGACTCCTGTGTTTACTCCCAACGCTTCGCTGAGTTTTCCGTTGTGGATCACTTGACATGTGCCGTTGTCGTACAGCTGTTGAATAAGGTTGATGACTATTTGGGGTACGCCATAGTACTCGAGTAGTTTCCAAATTACTTCGCGGTCAACGCTGTCGAAGGCCTTCTCAAAGTCTAAGAAGGAAGTTGAGGTAGAGGTTTGATCTCCATTCCATGCTTTGTTCGATGATAATGCGTAGAGTTGCAATTTGGTCAGAACATGATTTGCCTTTCCTGAATCCAGCTTGTTCTGGTCGGAGTTCTGTATCCAGTGCGTCCTTTATTCTCTCCAGGATTTTACTTGGCGTCGACAGGAGCATGATTCCTCGCCAGTTCTTGCAGAGTCCTAGGTCGCCCTTCTTTGGTAGTTTCACCAGATATCCTTTCCTCCAGTCAGTAGGCACCTTTCCCTCTTTCCAAACCTTTTGCAATAATGGAGTCAGCATATCTGCTGTCGTTTCTGGGTCCGCTTTCAGTGCTTCTGGGGGTATCCCATCTGGTCCAGCTGCTTTTCCAGCTTTCAGAAGCTTGATTGCATTCATGACTTCAGTTTTCGTTGGAGGGTTGGTGTCAACTTGCAGTTGTGTACGTGCTGTTGTTGGTATTTCTGGACGGGTTGCAGGTGGTGGTCGGTTCAAGAGTCCTTTGAAGTGGCCCATTGTTTAATCTGTCTTTCTTCTTTGGTAATTGGGTTCCCTTGGCTGTCTTTTATAGGTTTCACTTGTGTTGATCTCTTCCCGGATGGAGACTTGGTTATCTGATATAGTGTCCTCAGGTCCCTTTTGCCTGCTGCCTTCTCAGCTTCAGTAGCCAGGTTGTCGTAGAATTGTCTTTTGTCCTTCCTGGCAATCTTCTTCACTTTTTTGTCCAGTGCTGTGTAAGTTGAGCTCAGCGTCTCTTTCTCTTGTCCATCTTTGCATTGAATCATTTTCTCTTTCACCATTCTCCTTTCCTCTATTAGCTTCCAAGTGTCCGTTGAGAGCCATTCCTTGTCTTGTTTCTTCTTTCTTCCTAAAACCGTTGAACACGTTTCGTTGAAAATTACCTTCAGAGAGTTCCAATGGTCTTCCACGGATGATTCCTCAGTGGTGCCACGTAGTGTTTCCTGCTTTGCTCTGACAGTTGCAGTGAAAATGTCCTTTGTGATTGTGTCCTTCAGTTTTTGCGTGTTGAACTTGCATTGTGGCCTATCCCCAGGTATCCTCGAGGTTTTCAGCTTCACCTTGAAAGTCCCTTGTACTAGATAGTGGTCTGAACCCACATCTGTTCCTCTCCTCGACCTTGTGTCTAGTAGGCTCCGTCTCCACTTTCTTGAGATTGAAATGAAGTCTATCTGGTTTTTGGTGTGTCCATCTGGTGAAATCCATGTTGCCTTGTGTATATCCCTGTGTTTGAACACACTGCCACCAATCACCAAATGATTGAAGGCGCAGAAGTCTGAGAAGAGTTCACCATTTTCGTTCATTTCACCGAGGGCCTCACGACCCATGGTGAGTTCTCTTCCTGTATTGTCTCCTCCCAGCTTCGCATTCATGTCACCCATCAGGATTTTGATATCGCCATTTGGGACGTTGTCCATTACTGTTTGTAGTTGACTGTAGAAATCCTCCTTCTTCTCTTGTTCTGAGACGTTTGTAGGCGCATAGCATTGAATGATTGTAACCTTTTTTCCTTTTGAGTTGAACCTGGCTGTCATTATCCTGGAGGAGATTGGTTCCCACTGCATGAGAGCTTTGGCTGTTGTTGGTGACATCATGATGGCTACTCCCTCGGTGTGCTCGTGATTGTCCTCTGGGTGACCGGAGTAGATTATTGTCTCTCCAGTTGGTAGTTGGCACCTTCCGCATCCGTTCCATCTGCTCTCACAGATTGCCAACACTTCTATTTTATATCTCCTCATTTCTGCGGCTACCTGAGCAGCCTTTGTACATTTCGTACATTGTACGAATATTCCACGTCCCCAGCCTTATTTTGCTTTCATCGAAAGAAGGTACATCGGCTGACTGGCTTCCCGAAGGCTTTCACCAGCCTGCGTCATTTCACTTCCCCGATTCCAGCGAAAAATAAGGTTATTGTTTGTATTTTTAGAATTTTGAATATATTTGTGCGTTGGAGTTTTTGTAGCAATTTGGTTAAGTTTTGGGGGTGGAGTTGCTAGCACCACGCCCCAACCCTCCCTCTTTATCCGGGCTTGGGACCGGCTAGAATACTAGTGACCTAGTAATCTAGGCGAGGTTGTGTAAGTTCAGTAGTTGAATAAATTATTTTATTCTTTGTAATTATATATTTGTGTCTAAAAAATATAGTTTCGAATGTAAACTCAGTGGTTGTAATCTACTGCAAACATTTCGTAGTTGATAGCGTCCAAATCCACTAACTTTCCAAGATGGATGATCTGAATGAATAAAAAAATAGGATGTATCAAAATTTTAATACGGTATTACCAGTGCTTATACTTCAGACGTTATCTCATATAATAGAAGTAAGAAGTATTTCTAATAAATATGTTTAATGGCTTTGATGCAGCTTAATTAACTGAAGCAGTTAAAAGTATCTTAAACTGCGCCGTGATTTGTAGCTAACAGCACTTCTTGATGACAAAATCCTTCATAGCTAGAATTGGTGAATGAGTTGATATTCAGCTGTCTACATCCACAGTGTCACATACCAAACGCATAAATTTAAATGCTCTTCTCACCATTCAATCACTGACTCATAGGCGTGTAGGTAAGTCCGAAACTCAGGAGGAATAGTTTTCTGGTGTTTCAAAGTTTTTGATGTCAGTTTTTGACAGAATCTAATTTGAATTCATCCATTTCCTCCAAAAATCACTTAGTTTATGGTACCAAATTTATATTATTCCCTTGAGTTCCGAGTGGAACATTGCGCTTCAACAACACATCTCCACTTTGTTCTGTTTTCTACCATCCTCTTCAGCTGGGCCACCGATTGCCCATAATCTGTCATCTCCTCTTCGCATGATCTCCTGCATGTGACCCTAGGAAAACCAACTCATCGATTTCCATTAGGATTCCATTCGAGGGCCTGGCGCGTGATGTCATTCGACGGTTTCTTCAATGTATGTCCGATCCATCCATCTCCATTTACTCCTACATATTTGTTGAGCGATCGACTCTTGGTTGGTTTGTTGCCAGAGTTTCTTGTCACTTATTCTTTCTGGCCAGTCATTTGATCTTCAGTATGGAGCCAACGAAGGTAGTTGTTGATGAAAGTCTGCAGTCACGTGTTGGAACTCCTTTTCGTGACACGCAGTGACCCGTATAGAAGGACTTACTTGACATTTGTGTTGAAAATTGGAATCTTGTTCATTGTGCTGAGTGCGGAATATTTCCAAACTGGTTTCAGGTTGATGAAGGTGTATCTGGCCTTTCCGATTCCAAATGACTTTGACATCTTCATCCGTTCCGCCTGTGGTTCAAACAATGCTTCCTAGATAAGTGAACGCAGAAAGTAACGTCTGCCAAATGTCTCCTGTTGATGGTGATTGGTGCTGGTTGTTGTTGTTGTTACGGTTCGTCGGTTATCTTCATCACCGTTTTCCCTATGTTCACCTGGAGTCTTGTCTTCACTGCCTGCTTTCTGAGCCAGTTTGTTGCTTTTCGTTTTGACATTAGACATATATCATCTGCGAAATTCTTGTCGTGTCTTTTCTGTCTTCCTAGAACAGTTGTACACGTTTCCCTGAACATCACATTCAGAGAAATCCAATGTTCTTCGACACAGGTTTCCTCAATGATATCACGTAGTGTATCCGACTTTTCTCTGATTTGATCTGTACTGCAGTCATCCGCTGTAGTAATTTTTATCAGGCGTCATCGCTGATAAAGCCGACCTAATCTAATGTGAACGCAGCTATTGGATTGTGGTTGCAGTATTCCTCGAATCCTCAGAGTATAAGCATACTCACATCTCTGTGAGTACGAACCTTTTAGTAAATGTTAGGATTAGTTGACTCCACGTATTTAAATTGAACTCTTCATTTTTAGGAAATCATTTTCAGTTACTGTTGATATACTTATACTTATATATTACTACTACTTATATATATATATATATACTTATATATTGCTACCTATAAACTTTGTGCAAACGTTTTGCCATTATTTTAACCAGGTGTGATGACGCAATTCACCTGAACGAATTTTCTGGTCATCTTCTACGTTCAAAACCACTAGAATGTAATGAAGGTGGGATAGTAGCGGGATTCGGTTGCCTGGATTCACCATATATCACATGATTCAGTTCAAATCAAATTTCTCTTTCTGCAGACATTATTTATGGGCTGTTCTTGATTTTATATCTTTATTACTGAAAATGCTAATGTCTCTGATTTTAAATTATTGATAAGATTACTGCTTAGAAGGTATTTTACAAGAGGTATATTTTTAATTATCACTAAATAAATTGATAAAGATTTGTTTAGTATCATCTTGGATATTCTTAGTTAAAGGTTTGTCTTCTTCAGTTGCTGTAACAATGACATGAGCACAGCTAAAAGTCACAGCCTAATTGGAATTCGTGAATTTAAGTTTATCCGTACGGTTGATTTCGGGTGAGCACTATGTTTAAGACTGTAGAATAAGCCTGCTCACCAAATAGTAGGAACTAGTTTTTAATATCTTTTTGGCCTAACAAAAGTTACTGTAGCTTATAGATTCAAAGCTCATTTGCCCGTATTCTGACATGAAGGTCGTTTTGTACGTGCTTTATAAGCAGTGATTAGTTTTTAACATTGACAGTTAAGAAAGTTTGGGAAATAGCCCCAGTTTATGTCCTCACTGTAGTGGTTTGAAGTATCTTTACTGACACATCCTTGGAAGTCTGTCTGTGCATTAGGAGGAAGTTAAGTTTTCACTTCACTTTTTTTTGATGTTTGCTATGAAAGCTGAGTTTTATATTATGGAACCGATATTGCCTGGTTTATGGTATTCACAGCGAAATCCTATAAAAAGTCAGCAAACACGATGTTCATAATCAAATTGTTCCCGTTAACTTACGAAGTGACTGCTGTCCGACTTCTAACCATGTGTGAAGGCCTAGTACCACTACTACTAGCTTTATAGGTTATTGTTCGCTTTTAAAAACTAGCTACACGGTGAAAGCTTATTCAGAAAATAAGACGTTACAGCTATCAAAGAATAGCTGTGCATGTAAAATGTCTTTATCATTTCTCATATGAATTGTAACTTTATTGTTGTAAAACGATATGGAATCTACACTGGACTCTTCGCTGTCTATGCGGTACGCAGTAAATAAGTGACCGTGTCAAACTTTGGTTTTTTACTATTGACAAAGTTTAGTATTTACTGGAGTGCTCTGAGATACTGGTTACTTAGCACCAATTTTTGTCTTTACATTTGAAGTTCACACATAAACAGAATCCTTTGAATGACATTTCAACTACAGTAAGATTTCTATTTAAATTTTCACCCCATAAATCAGAGATTTGTAGTGTATACGTTGAAGGAAACACTTGCTAATTTATTATTCTCTGGCTTTATAACTGGTGATTAAATCTCAATAAGAAATTCTCAGTAATCCTACTACAATAAGAATAATCATTACATATTTACCAGTAAGTGTTATTCAAATGGTTATTATTTGCAAAAATCTTCTCACTGGCAGTTTAATTATGGCCTTCACTGCGCGTTGACGAATATTTCATATTGCGTAAGCCTAACATTACTGCTACGCCCTTATACAGATTAAGTCACTTGAAACGGCATAGAGAGAAGGGTTTGATTTCCTTTCATTTGTGTGTTGCTCATGAATCCGCTTAAAGTAGCGTAGGCATATTGATACGCTTTTACGTAATTCAAATTAAGATTACTTGTTAAGTAAACTGAGAAAGATCAATCGTGACATCTAATAGACAGAATTAATTTAATTAATTATATATATATATATATATATAATTTAATTATATTTGTGATAAATTCCGGCTATCATTCGCTTTTTGATTGCAACTTTGTGATTGACGATGCACCAAGTGGGTTACATACATATATGAACTGCAGCTCTAGTGCCATCATGCATTTTCTCGAATTTTCTCAGTCACACTTATATGTATAAAGCTGAATTGATAAACTATGTATCATTTTTTTCCAAAGCTCATGATAAACAAATACCATTAATTAAGTAAACCAACAGTAATGTAAAAAACACACGATACAATCAAAAAACAAGTAGTCTGAAAATAGTCAACCAAGAGGCATTCAAGGTTTCTTGTTGCAAGGCAGTTGTGGTAAAAACAGATTTCGGCCCTAATTTAAAGTGAAGCCACGGTCCCCTGAACACTGTGTGAGAAACCAATATGGCTATCATTTGTCCCACAGAATCATCAACTTTCTACTTTAATTATTTTAACTAGTTACTTATTCACAAAACGACATAAAAAACACTTAAACAACATACACAAAACTAAAACGTGATATTTATTCTTGACTCCTTAACCTTAGTGATTTCTTTACGCCAGTTACGAAAAACAAACTTTAATACGAAGATTTACCAAAAAGGTACAAATCGCAATTAACGTACTTCAAAACACTAAATCTGTGTCAAATAAAACAAGTAATTTTTATCCCACAACCCATATTAGGCAAGGTAACTGACATATGCTAATTTCGAAGTGAAATTTTATAAGAAAAATGAGTGTTACTATTGTGAAAGTACATAAATACATATAAGTACGACACGTCAAATAATACTGAAAGGATTCTTATACTGAATTACCATGAGAACTACTTCAGGAAGATAAGATGGAAGGGTTTTGAAGAAACCTATATTTACCAGTTAGTCTCTCGAGGAATATATACTTGCTGTTAATCAGGAATATTCCAGTGATGAACTGGTACAATTTCACTACTTAGCACTTTCGTCGCCATAAGTATTATCTTTCCGAAAGATTTGTGTATTTTCAACTAACCAGTGTAATATGATCAGTTGCCCAGTTCTATGATCTACCCATAATATTTCACGGTAGGTTCTCCACACCAAAGCATGTGTAGCGAATCCAAGTCGGTCAACTTTACTTAGATACGGAGAAGTGACAGTTAAGGTATCTTGATTACATAGTTTTATATCCAATATGAAAGCATGCATATCGTTACTAAATTTTTGTTTTCTTCGCTAGTTCTGCTCACTTAGTGTAGTGTTTTCAAACCCAAGAGATAGAATGCACCTTCCTACAATGCTTCGTGCTCCTATGTCAGTCCCTAAGCAAATTATTTAGAGACGAGAAGGGTTGAAGACAAATTCTTACACCTAACTGTTAAAGAGTATTTAACGGTATGAAACTATTTCTTTAAAGACAGAAAATAAATGATTTAGGTTTAATTCTATGCACTTGGACAAAATTTTCCGGGTCATCGACATGAATATTGGTTAAGGCCTGCTGCAGCGATGCTCAGTAACGACTTATTTCTAACAAAGTCCGATTACTTAAAGAAAAACACCGACCAACCTATCAACCACCAAAATCAGCTGAACTCAGCAAAGAATATATTGTCAGCAGTCACTGCTGAAAGGGAATCATAGTTTGGTAGGTGAAAGTTGACTGCAGGAGTTGCATTATTTATTATTATTGAGTTAAAGTTTTAATGAAGGATGACCGGTCGTTAGAATGTGAGTGCCATAACCATGCACTACTTAGAGTGAGTTTTAAATTATGCAAGGAGTCAAAAATCGGAAGACTTATCTAATTTTTTTTCTTATGGGAGGTATAGACAGTTAGTTAACCAAATACGAAAGTGTTAATCATCGTCTAGTACTGTCTCTATTCTGCCGTGCAAGCCTCTACAGCAAGTAACCAGGGAAATTTCTAAAAATGCTAGCTGATTTCAGCAACTTCTTTTGAACTACCACATGGATAAAAACTTATCCAATTACGTTACGTGTACAATGGCGAAAAAGCTTCAGGAGAAGTGATAATCAATAAAAATAAAATGCATGCAAGATGTGTTGTGATTAGTAAACAGAACACCTTTGGGGTTTCTAAATTATTGTACACTCGTCTGTTTATCTAATTAAAGATAGTGTCGTGTGTGAAACAAGTAACGTAGTACATATGTAGCGTTGTGGCGGCTGAGGATATAGTTTTGGGGGTCTCTTCATACAATAGTGTGCAAGTGTTTACCATACCAATTAAAAATAAAGTTGAATATATCGCACAGGTACCTTTAAACCTTAGCTGCGGCATCCTATGGAAAATACTATTCTGTTCTTAACTATTCAGATGGACTCACTTCTTATCAGCTTCGAAACTCTCGTCACTTGTACTGACCCTTATAAAATTGTCGTCTCTCCAATTATGCTCGCGTCCGTCCTCAGCAATTTCAACCAGGAACTTCATCAAAATGGACATAATCATCTCGAAATTCAGCCGCTAGTTTCGTTCCTCGTATGATTTCATAGGAGTGTTATGGAAGATTTCAATCATCGCGGATGAAAACAAAAATGTTTAACCTCCTCAGAACATACATTTAACTTGTGTCTATGGGCTTATTCTCTTTTAGTTACCTGATTCTCATAGATTAACTGTTATGACAACAATCATTGCCTGTAGTCAATTTATAGCCTGAAAATCTGAAACAACTCGCAAATAACAAAGCTTAAAGGCTCTCAAACGAAAGTAATAGTCATTTTTATGCATAACTTCTTTAAATGAATGCCTTTCTTCGCAATAATTCGTCTGGGACATGAAGACAATATTACGCATTAATGCGACCACAATACAAGAAAATATTGCTTTTTATCGACTGCAGAAGCCTAAAACTACTTAAATATACTTTATTTTCAGAAAAATAAACGCTTATTAAGCCTCTATAGGCATGAACGAGCTAACCCATACAGTGCGCGAAAATACATCGCGATAGTGTTTATCCGCATCCTACTTAATTAGTGTGGCAAATCGATGTAGACCGGCACTTCTAGGCTTACGTCCACCGACCACCTATCTGACGTCCTACTTAAATCACTGAGCTACCGGAGTTGATTTGCTCCAAAATGCTTTATTTCATCTGGAATAATCATTATTTTAATCGTCCAGTTATATCAAATGACCTATATACTTGCGTGCTGATTTGACTTACTTCCGAGTAAACGCTGTGAAATTCTCTAACGAAATGAATATATACCCCAGATTATTACTTTTCATATAAACCCCGTATGAATAAAAAGGTAACTTGGATTTAAATACGCTGAAAATTGCGCTGCCATATGTTCGTATACTGTCTTGAAATAAATCTCTATTATTATTATTATTATTATTATTATTATTATAGATATCGAGAAGAATAAAAGCGAAAAGCAACTGACGGATTCCCTATGGGTGAAGAACGGCTGTCTGTTGAATGATAACTACTTGAATTTCCAAGACCAACACGATAAATCATTCTCCGGCTTTATCTTTTGAAAAAATGCACAAGACT